CGGTGTTTTGTTGTCTTGCGCCCATATATTTCCTGATTTTAACATGTTATCTCTAGTCCTCCCACGGCTAAAGACCCCTACGACCAAGCGAATTATTGAAATAAAATTGAACATTATGTTAGTCCCAAAATGACCCAGTTTGTGTAGAGTGGAGGTTAAACCCCATTTTTCTCTCTCTGGATGCTAGATAGGAAACAGTTGCAGGAAGAAATGGTAATTTTCACAATCAGTGACCTACAATTGATTATTATGTAACTTAGTAAAAGGAGGCGGGATTCTAAGAAAGTATCTATGTATACCTATAGTACTTGTATTCACTGTATAATAATGGATGGGGCAGTAATATATTTTAGCTAATTGTAATGTATTTATTATAACATGTAAATATATATATATATCATATCAAAGTATTGAAAGTCACAATATCTGGTTCCTGTCTATAGCCAGATGAATATTTTCCTTTTTTTTCTCATATACATAGCTTTAAATGAATTATGCATGAAATTTGAATGTGTGTATATAATATCATATATAAATATATTATTTTAAATATTGATAGATTGTTTAATTTGTTAGTTAATTGAAACAAGCAATTGTCATGAAAGTGATGCTCACATTTTGCAAGATATGGACAAATTAAAAAAAATAGGAACATCAATAGGGTTCATCCTCTTATTGTCCCAATGTCTCAAACTGTAGTCTCTTTTATGTTGACAAGGTTTCCAGAAAAGCGCGTAACTATGGAAAAGAAGGTCATGGAGCGCAGAATATCTATAGGGTTCGTCCTATGTTTTGCACCACATTGTAAAAAAAGATCTGTTAAAAACCATGTCCCCTTCACAAAGTTTTTGGCAAGGCATAACTCCTGATGAAAGGTCGCGGAATATTGATTATCATTAGGGTTTGTTCTCTTGTGAGCCGAATGCTCAAATTTGTACAAAATCTGTTAAAAACTCCAAAATCAAACCTATTAGATATGTTTGAGATATAAACATATATTTTAAATCGGATAACAATTGTGACCTATAGAGTACGCACACACAAATGTGTATGCATGGACAAGGTCGAGAGCATAATACATCCATAGGAAAAAGGGGGCGTGTATGAAAGATATCTCTTTGAGAATCATGCAAAAGTGGAGAGGATTATCTACACTTGAACTATTGATAACATCTGGGTTGGGTTTTTTTTGGGGGGGGGGGGGGGTTGTAGCTTCCAGTACCATTGCCTGTGTTAGTATGGTATTGTTCATGTTTGTCAGTGTCTCGGTGAAGGGGGGGGGGGGAATCACGTGGGTAAGATGCTGACTCGCTAGCCTGGAGGTCGGGTGTTCGATCCCTGCATTGGCCGAGAAAGTTCATCCCGATTTTCCGGCGTGGTTTCCCCTTGTCAGTGATGCAGGACAGAGGGTCTGACAAGGACAGCTGTCTAGTTGTTCGGATGGGACAAAAAACTGAGGTCCCGTGTACACATTGGCGTGCACGTAAAAGATCCCTTGGCAGTTGGAATTCAATATAAGAGTAGGCCGTAGCACCGCTGCCCGGGCAAAATTTCCCTCATAGCACACTGTATGGCGTATGCCTGTCTTCATTAGCCCAGGTTAGGAGCAGAACAGTAGGACGTTAAACCCATTTTCATTTCATTTCGGTGAAGGGGGGTTGGATGGCCGAATGATTAGCATGTGCGTGCTGTATCATAAGACCTGTCATTGAGTCAACTGGCGTGGTTTCGAATCTCTGGTTTTATGTGACAAGGAGTAGGGTCGCCTGTCCAACATCATGGGTTTTCTCCGGGTCCTCTGGTGTCCTCCCACTGCTAAAGACCCCTACACGCAAGTGAATTATTGAAATAGAATTAAAGCATATGTTAGTCCCCAAATGACCTAGTTTGTGTTGAGTGGATGTTCAATCCCATTTCTCTCTCTCTCTGCCTGGGTGAGCTCTGTGTACATCAATGGTAGATTAACTTATACATGTAGATACTTGGCTTGGTGTTCCCAAGGGACAGACATATATTTAAAAAAATATATATTGCAAAGGAGTTGGGTAACACTAGTGTATTCCCCATTATGCCCCCTCCAACCAATTAAAACTACACATATTACTACACTGGCTGGAAATTGTTGAGAGAATAGGTAAAATTATTTAAATCCTTCCAAAAATAAAATATTTACTGTTATTATAGTTATGTCAATGGGAAGAGTGAATGACCTTTCCCTACTGAGTATTTATGCACTCAGTCCGGCAAAATTCCTGATGAGGGGCCAGTGGCTTGCAGAGGGTTATAGTTATGTCAGGGGCCAACTTATTGATTATATACACCTAGTACTCAGAGGAGAAAGGGAGATAATTATTTTAAACATGCCAAAACAAAAACATGTTTTTATTAAAATTAAGTAAGACAGCTTGTTGTACAGCGATTATTTCAAATTTCGAAAATTTGCCCCCCCCCCTTACCCAGAAACGTCACCCCCTCTCTACATGCCACTCCTGTATAATGCCAGCATACAGCTTTTTAAGAGTTCCTTTTATAGAATTGGACAGTTTTATTGTCTGCGATATCACCTCGGTGGAAGCGGACGTTAAATAAAGCTATTTCACTCACATTTATTGTATAAATATATCTAAAGACCCCTCTACCAAAAACGTCGCACTGGGAGAATATAGGAAAGGATCCCAAAGTTTACAATGATTATGGCCAATGAAAATCGACATTCGATAACGTTATATTCATTGTGACGTCACAATTAGTATGACGTCACAACTTATTGTCTCGTCAAATAGGGAGCCAGTATAATCTATATTATAACGATATTATCACTTAAAACAGATTTATTTTAGCGGAAAAACCATCGAAAATATTTAAAATACCGAGTCTGGACATCAGGTAAGTAATATAAACTATCGTTAAGTTATCTAGAAAACTGTTATCATTTATTATACGGTAAAAGAAATTTAATAATGATAAGAAAATGAATGCCGGTCGTTGTCATGGCGCTAATAATGTTCATTGACCAAAGATTAATTTCTTGATGTCTTAGCTTTTTCAAAAGCGAAAATACGACACCTTTCAGTGTGGAATATCGTGCCTTCTTTTGGTCGTCTTTTATTTGTGTTTTCAAATCTAACGTGAAAATATGATATGGCATTCAAAAACATGAAACACATAAAAACAAAAAGTAGTCTAAGGAAATATGAAATGAAATAACTTTACACTTTCACTTCATAATGAGCCACTGGATATAACAAATTAAGCTGTAGGTCTATACAAAAAGGGAGATTTCTCCGTGTCGTCCTGTTCCCTCCGACGAGGGAAGCCAACTATTTAAACAAAATTGAAATATATAATATATGTTAGTATGTTTTTATGTAAAATCGCACTTGCTGTGTTTTGGAAAAGTGACCTCTTGTTAACCCAGATATACGCCAAAATGACGACACAGACCATGTATTTCTCAAAAATGTACAAGGCCAGAGGAAGCGAACCAACCCGGACCCCCTCCTCCCCCAAGAAATACCCCCTCCTGCAAAAATTCTTGGATCAACCCTGCGCACTATAGTCTTAAACATCCGTCACCATCCCCGGCTTTGCACAACTGTGTTTACAAGTCACTTTCATTTTTCTCCAGTCGAAAGGGTTGGGGAGTGTCAGGGGGCTCATATTACTAAAGGTAACGGACAGATTATAGCTTTAGATATATCATTAGTTTGATCAATTTCCGTACTCATTTAAAATTACACTCGGCATCCACTGCATATATAGGACACCGTCAACAAAAGCCAGTGTTAGGCTATTTTAATTTTGTTTTCTTAATTAAATGTTTAAAAATCCATTTTAGCGCGGGTTAAGACGTGACAATAAAATTAGTATGATCAGAAAAATGCAAATGATGATCAGCGACTTCGGGCCCCAAGTTCACAAAGCATTCTCAGACTTAAGTTAAGAATTTACTCAACTTTCAGTCAGTGTTTATGAGAAATATCTTTGATGCAGAAACACAAAACTTTGCACATAGTTTCTTATTGATGTATTTGGTACAATAAAACAATAAAAGTTGTATAAAGGGCTATAGCTTAGTTAAAATAAGGCGAAAAATTTTGATTAAATTCTTAACTTAAGTCTGAGAATAATTTGTGAACTCGGGGACGGGAATATTTTTACTGAGAAACTATAATATGTAAACTTGGCTTCCGTTTGCAGCTATAATGAAGTTCGGAGTAATGCCTTTGTCCTTTGGGGACTCACCAACAGAAAGTAAAGAAAGTGAAGACATGGAAATTGAAGATCGAGATAGAGAAGATACACAAATAGAAGATATTATGAAAACAGGAGATAATGAATCAAAAGATGAAGAAACAGAAGATAAGAGAACTGCAGAAGATATAAAAACTGCAGAAGATATAAAAACTACAGAAGCAGATATAAAAACTGCAGAAGCAGATATAAAAACTGCAGAAGATATAAAAACTACAGAAGCAGATATAAAAACTGCAGAAGCAGATATAAAAACTGCAGAAGATTTAAAAGCAGAAACGGGAGATATAACAACGGTAACGGAAGATATAAAAACAGAAACGGTAGGAGATATAAAAACAGAAACACAAGATATAAAAACTGCGGAAGATATAAAAACTGAAGATATAAAATCCGAAGAATTAAATGCAGAAACTGGAGATATAAAAACCGAATCAGAAGATATGAAAACTGCAGTAGATATAAAAACTGCAGAAGCAGATATAAAAACTGCAGAAGATATAACAACTGAAGATTTAAATACAAAAACAGAAGATATACAAACTAAAGAAGATATAAAAACCGAAGAAGATATAAAAGCAGACGATATAAAAACAGAAACAGAGGATATAACAACCGAAGAAGATATAAAAACTGAAGACATAAAAACAGAAGCTGAAGAAGATATAAAAACAGAAGATATAAAAACAGAAGATATAAAAACAGAAGCTGAAGAAGATATAAAAACAGAAGATATAAAAACAGATATGAAAACTAAAGATTTAGAAAGAGAAACACGGGATATAAAAACCGAAGATATAAAAACTGAAGATATGAAAACTGAAGAAGATATAAAAACAGGAGTTATAAAAACCACAGAAGATATAAAAGCAGAAGATATAAAAATAGAAACCGAAGATATAACAACGGAAGAAGATATAAAAACTGATGATATAAAAACAGAAGACATAAAAACCGAAACCGAAAATATAAAAACAGAAGATATAAAGACTGAAGGTATAAAAACAGAAACCGAAGATATAAAAACTGAAGTAGATATAAAAACGGAAACAGAAGATTTAAAAACGGAAACAGAAGATATAAAAACTGAAGATATAAAAACTAAAGAAGATATAAAAGCAGAAGATACAAAAATGGAAACAAAAGATATAACAACGGAAGAAGATATAAAAACCAAAGACATAAAAACCGAAGCTGAAGAAGACATAAAAACTGAAGATTTAAAAACAGAAACTGTTGGAGGGATAGAAACAGAAACAGTAGGAGATATAAAAACAGAAACACAAGATATAAAAACTGCAGAAGATAATAAAACTGAAGATATAAAATCCGAAGAATTAAATGCAGAAACTGGAGATATAAAAACCGAATCAGAAGATATGAAAACTGCAGTAGATATAAAAACTGCAGAAGCAGATATAAAAACTGCAGAAGATATAACAACTGAAGATTTAAATACAAAAACAGAAGATATACACACTAAAGAAGATATAAAAACCGAAGAAGATATAAAAGCAGACGATATAAAAACAGAAACAGAGGATATAACAACCGAAGAAGATATAAAAACTGAAGACATAAAAACAGAAGCTGAAGAAGATATAAAAACAGAAGATATAAAAACAGAAGATATAAAAACAGAAGCTGAAGAAGATATAAAAACAGAAGATATAAAAACAAATATGAAAACTAAAGATTTAGAAAGAGAAACACGGGATATAAAAACCGAAGATATAAAGACTGAAGATATGAAAACTGAAGAAGATATAAAAACAGGAGATATAAAAACCACAGAAGATATAAAAGCAGAAGATATAAAAATAGAAACCGAAGATATAACAACGGAAGAAGATATAAAAACAGATGATATAAAAACAGAAGACATAAAAACCGAAACCGAAAATATAAAAACAGAAGATATAAAGACTGAAGGTATAAAAACAGAAACCGAAGATATAAAAACTGAAGTAGATATAAAAACGGAAACAGAAGATTTAAAAACGGAAACAGAAGATATAAAAACGGAAACAGAAGATATAAAAACTAAAGAAGATATAAAAGCAGAAGATACAAAAATAGAAACAAAAGATATAACAACGGAAGAAGATATAAAAACCAAAAACATAAAAACTGAAGCTGAAGAAGACATAAAAACTGAAGATTTAAAAACAGAAACTGATGGAGGTATAAAAACAGAAACTGAAGATATAAAAACTGAAGATATAAAAACTGAAGAAGATATAAAAACAGAAACCCAAGATATAAAAACAGAAGATAAAAAAGGTAAGAACAAAATGCATTACTTCTTCTCACCTGAACTATTTGTTCAATGTTTTTAATGAGAAGTTATTGAACTTACAATGAGAGTAGCGTAATTTTATTTTTATTTACTGTGGTTACCTTTTGTCTCTGCGCGACTACACACCACACGGTAACCTTACATACAATCGCCTGATCAAAGATAACATAATTACATGTCATGGTTTCATTATTATTTCAGACGATGAAATAGCAACATGTCCCGAAGACCTCGAGAATGGATTGGAGCCAGGATACTTCAAAAAAGAAGGGAGGGCATTTTGCCTTAAACATGGCAAGATATTTGAAATACACAAGAAAAGTGCACAAAATCAGACAAACAGAAAATTTGTATTATTAGGTGTTATTCCTGGCGGCTGCAAATCAACAAAAAATCAAAAGAAAAGTAAGTAACAAAACCCTACAGCGTTCCACTCAGCCCATAACCGAACAGAGATACGGGGTTGTATTCCAAAGGCCTGTTAACAGGCGGTAGTGATGGGGAAATAGTTTAGATATATGTTACATGAGGGCATGGTAATGGACAACGTATAGTCGTTCGAATGCTACGAAAATCCAATGTAGATCTATTGGATATATTTATGTAATTAGTATCCCCTTCGATATGTAATCATACTTACGTGTACCAATTGACACCCACTTTGCAGACAGATAGTAGAATCACTGCCTTTATATAGTATAAACATATTAGTATATAGTATAAACCTTTGAGTTTTCTATCATTATTTAGTTGAAAACGATAAGAGAGAACGTGTCAAAACGTTGCTCCCTGTGTTTAATGTACCATTGATTTTCTTTTATTGTGTTCAATCGCAAAATGACACTCAAGATCGAACCAATTGTCATGATCTTCGTACCTGGAGCCACGGTGGCTCCGTGAGTAAGGTATTGTCCAATAATTGTGAGATTCGGTGTTGGCCGAGGAAGATTTCCGGGAATTTCCATGGTTGTTTTTCCAGTGTGTGGTGCAGGACAGGGAGCCTGACATGGAACTGCGTCAAGTTGTTCGGATTGGGCGAAAAGCCAAAGACCTGTGCATGCGTGCGTGTACAATATTACAATGAGTGTTCTTGTATGGGGGACGCCCGTCTTCATTAGCCCTGTCGGTGCAGAAAAGTTATTAACCACGTTAAAAAAGTGAAATAGTTTAAACTGATTGATTATGGAAGCTGGTGTACTATGACTTTAATACAAAAACGCATTCTTTTATTATAATTTATCAGTTAACACAAAATATATGATTGAACAGAATTTGATTTTTAACCACCTGTTTTGATTTGCATACCTATTTTATTCCTTATCTTTATTCTAATTTTTTCAGTCAACCCATATGTTCTGATGGACCTGTATAGAAACAGCACTTTGCCACCAGAGAATATCAAACCCTATTTGTTGGTAAGACCAGAGGTCAGAATAAAGATACACACTGACACAGTTCGTGCAAATATGTTTGGGCCACATCCGAAAGTAAAGAACGTACCTGCACCAGAGTATAAAGAAGTAAAAGATATAGACACAGAAAATACAGAAGTTAAATATATAGACACAGAAAATACAGAAGTCAAATATATAGATAGAGAATACACAGAAGTTAAATATATAGACACAGAAAATACAGAAGTTAAATATATAGACACAGAAAATACAGAAGTTAAATATATAGACACAGAAAATACAGAAGTCAAATATATAGATAGAGAATACACAGAAGTTAAATATATAGACACAGAAAATACAGAAGTTAAATATATAGACACAGAAAATACAGAAGTTAAATATATAGATACAGAAAATACAGAAGTTAAATATATAGATACAGAAAATACAGAAGTTAAATATATAGATACAGAAAATACAGAAGTTAAATATATAGACACAGAAAATACAGAAGTAAAATATATAGATACAGAAAATACAGAAGTTAAATGTATAGATACAGAAAATACAGAAGTTAAATATATAGACACAGAAAATACAGAAGTTAAATGTATAGATACAGAAATTACAGAACTTAAATATATAGACACAGAAAACACAGAAGTTAAATACATAGATAGAGAATACACAGAAGTTAAATATATAGAAACAGAAAATACAGAAGTAAAATGTGTAGATACAGAAAATACAGAAGTTAAATGTATAGACACAGAAAATACAGAAGTAAAATGTGTAGATACAGAAAATACAGAAGTTAAATATATAGATACAGAAAATACAGAAGTAAAATGTGTAGATACAGAAAATACAGAAGTAAAATACATAGACACAGAAAATAAAGAAATAAAAGATGTAGAAACAGAGTATAAAGAAATAAAAGATATAGAAACAGAGTATAAAGAAGTAAAAGATACATATACAGAGTATAAAGAAGTAAAGGATGTAGAAACAGAAAATAAAGAAGTAAAAGATGTAGAAACGGAATATAAAGAAGAAAAAGATCTAGAAACAGAATATAAAGAAGTAAAAGACGTAGAAACAGAATGTCAAGAAGTAAAAGATGTAGAAACAGAATATAAAGAAGTACATATAGAAACAGAATATAAAGAAGTAAAAGATGTAGAAACAGAATATAAAGAAGTAAAAGATGTAGAAACAGAATATAGAGAAGTAAAGGATGTAGAAACAGCATGTCAAGAAGTAGATCACATAGAGACAGTGTATAAAGAAGGAAAAGATGTCGAAACAGAATATAAAGAAGTAAAAGATGTAGAAACGGAGCATCAAGAAGTAAAAGATGTAGAGAGAGAATATAAAGAAGTAAATGATGTAGATATAGAATATAAAGAATTAAAAGATGTAGAAATAGAATATAAAGAAGTAAAAGATGTAGAAACAGAATATAAAGAAGTAAAAGATGTAGATACAGAATATAAAGAAGTAAAAGATGTAGAAACACAATATAAAGAAGTCAACGATGTAGAAACAGAATATAAAGAAGTAAAAAATGTAGAAACCGAATATAAAGAAGTAAAAGATGTAGAAACCGAGTATAAAGAAGTAAAAGATATAGAAACCGAATGTCAAGAAGTAAAAGATGTAGAAACGGAGCATCAAGAAGTAAAAGATGTAGATACAGAATATAAAGAAGTAAAAGATGTAGAAATAGAATATAAAGAAGTAAATGATGTAGAAACAGAATGTCAAGAAGTAAAAGATGTAGAAACAGAATATAAAGAAGTACAAGATGTAGATACAGAATATAAAGAAGTAAAGGATATAGAAACCGAATATAAAGAAGTAAAAGATATAGAAACAGAGTATAAAGAGGTAAACGATTTAGAAACAGAATGTCAAGAAGTAGATGACACAGTAACAGAATATAAAGAAGTAAAAGATGTAGAAACAGAATGCCAAGAAGTAGATGACATAGAAACAGAATATAAAGAAGTAAAAGATGTAGAGACGGAATATAAAGAATTAAAAGATGTAGAAATAGAATATAAAGAAGTAAAAGATGTAGAAACAGAATATAAAGAAGTAAAAGATGTAGAAACAGAATATAAAGAAGTAAAAGATGTAGAGACGGAATATAAAGAAGTAAAAGATGTAGAAACAGAGTATAAAGAAGTAAAATGTAAAGAAACAGAAGATAACAACAGAGAAACGGAAAATGAAGAAACACAAATAAAAGAACTCCGAGAAAAGGAGATTACAATTACAGAAGAAAGAGAAACAGGAGAAAAAGAGATTACGGTTACAGAAGAAAGAGATGTGATGGAAATAAAATCACAAACCCAAGAAAGGGAAGACAGTGGGATGGATAAGAGGGATACAGAAGAAACGGAAATAGTAATGGAATTAGTGGAGGGAATGAATTATGGAGCAAAAACTGTAGAAGGGAAAAAAGAGAAAAATAAAAGCAATTTCCGTAAATTTTTCATCAGAGTGGGAAAACGGTTTAGAAAATTGTGTACTTGTGGCTGTGTTAAAAAGCAAGCAGATTGAGAAAGCGAGGGGGAGGGGGCAGGGGAAAAAAGAAAATAAAAACATTAATTTTTTAAAGATAAAGATACAGAAGATATAGCGGAAGCTGTAGAAAGATTGAATTGGCCTTAAATGTACATAAAATAAATTTGTATATACATGTATTTATTTCATAAAAAAATACTGTTTTTTAAATAAATTATACATTTTCTATTTGTTTTGATATATTTGTCATAGATTTTATGGTCAGTCAATAAGGGTATATTTCTAGATAACTAAAACTAAAAATAACGGGGGATATTTTCGAGTAGCTTATGCATCAGTCTCTTTAGCAGATTAACTGTTTTGTACCATAGCGCTCGTCTAACCATCATCAATGTACTGTTGAATTCCAAGCCCCCCCCCCCCCCACACACACACACCCACACCCACACACCCCATCCCCACAAAAAAGAAAAAGAAAACAATGCTGGCCATGTTACAGTTTGACTGTATTCCTGACAGAATCGCCGATTGATAAGCGGTTAGGTCAAATGTATCGCAGCTCAAGAAAGATGAATTATGCAAATTATCAATAATCGCAATAAATAAAATGTTGATACATTTTTGGAACCGTATACCCCCTTAAATGGATGCTCTAGGTCGTCGCACTTTCTCTGCGCACCACTGTTATAGACACTCTTAGGGTGAGTGGTTTTACATAGGCTTCCTATTTCCCAATCCCTTTCGGATATCTTGACCGAATACAAACTAATATTGTTTTATATAAATAACAACCAAATATCAACCTGTAGGGCCGGGGTTCCCATTTGTGGGGTCGCGAAACCAAATGGAGTCACTTGATATTCGCCACGGTCGCTAAGTTGCCATGGGATCGCGACAGATTTTGAATTCGATGAGTAAGTTTCTTCTTCTGAAATGCTCGCAAAACTCGTTTTTAACGCATTCTAGGAGGGTCCTCATACACCGCGAGACGGCGCTTGCTAGTCGCTCAGAATGGGAACCCCTGCTCTGCGGTTATCGTCCGGTTGACTTGAAAATTAAAAATGTTGTTTATCTTCTGAAGAGGTCGATTGTTTTTCCCGCAGTTACTGTAAGCATTATTTCCGTTGGGGGTGCTTTAGAAGCTAATGTGATCATATAATTGATTACTGTGTTTATGTTCATGAACGAAAGAAAGAAGTTGAAAGAAGTCTTGAGCTTGTGAACATGGATGCTCTTGAGGCTCATTGATGTGGAAATTTATATAACGTGTAAGTTCATTAGAAGCAGGAATCCTAGTTGTTGATTTTCAATATCTAATAATTACTTTCAGAGTTTTTTTTATTGGTCCCTAATAAGTGATTATGTAATTATCGGAAATTGTTATAAGTTGATAAGTTTCTTCCTAGCACTAACATCAACAACAAATGTAAAACGCATGTCAATCAGATCATGGTAATTTTAGCCATTACAACAACCATAATTTTTAAAAGTAAACAAGGGTAATAACCATGGAAGTAATTATCAGAAATCATTATTAATATTGCCTTCCTTGGGAACATCGACACCAATTAAAAATTTATTTAGGATTTTTTTTTTCTGAGGGATCAAGGACAATAGCTCTCAAAGTAGTCCGCAAACATAATTGAAAATCTTTATCCCATAAACATCAACTTCAAGTCGTTAGGATTATTAGCTCTACTGTAGCTGCTAGATCATCAATAAGATTTTTCAAAGTGATCAACGGTAACCACTCTTCGACAGCAATTATCCGAAATTGTTGAAAACCAGTAGGCCAGTTAATTGTTAATTGAATTATAACTTTAGCCGTTAGACTTTCCACAAGACAATGTCATGGGCAATGACACAGACAGTAATTATCGAAAATCTGTGAAATTTAAAGATACAATTTCATATTTTCTAAGAAAGTCAAAACATAATTATTTCTATGTCTTTTGCTCAATAGGTTGTCAACTCACTATTATACGATAATAGGTGTCATTCTCACACTTAAAACTCATTTACACCGGAAATAATAACACAATTACCTCCCTTGATTTCTATTCTCCACCATGGAGTAGTTATCTTCAAACGTTGGAATTAGAAGATGAAAATGATTTTTTTGCCAATTTCTCATCTGGCAATAGTGAATTATAGGATTAATAGGATTATTCTTTAACAAGGTAGGACTGTTTATAGATACCATCTATTTTAAGGCTTTATTTTAATAAATTTTAAAAATATAACTTAAAAATATGACATTGCAACTTTAAATGGTTTCTATTTGTCTCCTGAAAATAAGCACTGTGTATGCACTTCAAGCCAGTCTGGTTTTAATTATGGACGACAGATGGGCAATAACAATATAACATTTATACAGTAGAAGAACTTCCTTCCATGTTACCAACAATGCGGCAACCATCTTAACTCATGAATTTAAATTTGTTTCCTGTTTCTTTGAAAATGTTAAAATTTATTTGATGAACTTATGAAAGTTGGCTTATGGTTTAAATGACAGTTTAATAATTTTAACTTCACACATTAAAATTTCAGCGAATAAAAATAAATAAGTAATAAAATAGATGTTGCATTCCTTTAATAGATACTATATTACAAAGAAATACTTTTAAAATCCATTTAAAGACTATTTACATAATAAATGGAAATATACAAATATATCTTTTACCATAACAATACTATTGTCTAGACATGATCATATGTAAAGATAATGGGGAATAAACAATGATTATATACCTATTATGCATTTTATCATGAACTAGGTATCTTGATAAGACAAAGTAAGCCCAAGTTTGGTTATTTTCTAACAAACAATAATATCAGACTTAGTAGAGAATTTTTGACACCTCAAAGAGTAATAGGTATAGGAGTAATAACCTGTTTAATTTAAAGATGCATTATGTAAGAGCTAAATATGACTAATGAAGGTCTTTGGCTTCAAATGTTATATTAAACATGCATTATGCAAGAGCTAAATCTGCCTATTGCAGGTCTTTCTTTAGGCCTGAAATGTTTTCTAAAGTATTAATTAGACATTAATTAACTGATCCAGGCCTTAATCAACTATCGATGGCATCAGATTTCTCCGATATTAAATAGATTAGAATGGTTCAGCGTTAGTTTGATTTAATCAAATATGGCGGACCCAGACGGACCGAGACTTAGCTTCGATCAACCAGGACCGTGGTTGAAATTATTGAACATGTCTGTCAAACCTTCAAAGGCCAATATCTTCGCTTGCAATAGAGTAATTTGAATGAAATTTTCAAATTATTCATTTTACATCATCTACTTTCGAACTATTATAGCAAGAATGGCTAATTCTTTATCTAAATCTTACATAATGTATCTTTAATTATTATATTAGACATTTATTCACATGACAAGCCTATAATCAACTCTTTATCTAATTCTTACATAATGCATTTTCAAATCAAAACAATGTTGAATTCAGTTGATCTGATGTGTTATTTGGATTGCTGACGGAATAGAATCTAAAATAAGAACACTGGCTCTATCTAAATATAGACAGATTCAGGTTCCTGACTCACAGAGCATTTCAACACATCACACTCAACTAATTAGACACTTTTGACAAATTTTAACATGTTTTGTTAACATGTTTCCTTCTACTCCCCACAACTGAGAATCGTGACAAATAAATACTCTTAATTTATCTATTTACTAAACGCTAAATTGTAGAGAATATTCACTCTGCTTTGTAATATCTTACAAAAATCAACCATACATGAATGAAACAATAAGTTATTCCACTCTAAATCTGTCATGTAAAAGTATAGGAATTACCAAGGTCCGATAAATACATCAAGTTATTAAGAAAGTTAAAAAAAAAATCAATGTAAGTGAACATAAACAGAAACTTTGTGGAGAATGCATATGAGCAACATAATTGTCAACTAAATTACACATTTTGAAGTTTGTATTGCATACAAATACTGATATACAGCAATATACGCATGGCATACAGGTAAACTCTAAAATATAAAGAAATTATGTTCTATTTTAGAAATTAAAATTTTGACAATGATAATAATTACTTCATAAATTTAATCAACAAAGCTTACATACTGATAAAAAAGTTCAATACGTTTGGTATGATAAACCAATTTTCTGAATAAAATTCAGTCTTGTGGTAACTGGACAGTATGAATGGATACACCACAGTATGCCGTGGTACATAGCCCTTATCTTATACATATATAATGTATTCTTTTCATAAATTTACTTGTCTTATAATTCATGTATTTTAATTCATAACAAAACCATTATCTTTGTTAGTTGGAACTTCATATTTAAATTACTATTATGTATATTTTTTGAAATAGTGCTATTCTGTTAGTTGATCCATCCCATTAAAAAAAAATCCAATATGAATTTTTCTTGCTTATATCCTTAAACATAAATTCCCACAAAAGTATTCATCGGGTGGTTATTTCCAATAAAAGTATTGCAAATTTGGTATATATGGAAAGTATAGATGCCCAATCTAACTAGAAAAATTAAATGGCAGAAAATAATTCAAGAATTTACTTTGACCTCAATGCATGATAAATGGACAGTAAGTAATGACAAATACATTCTGGAAAATGGAACCTCCCTCAATCAAGTTAGGTAAAAAACATGGCTTCTAAAAATAGATTTTTTTAATAGCTTAACGTATATTTTTGTGTATACAAAGTTTTGAGAGGGACTTAAAGCAAACTTTTGATAGATTGATTAGTTTGAATATGTTTTTAGTCCAAATATATCATCAAAAAATCACACAGTTTGTACGCGGGAAGGTATCTTTAAGAAAAACAATTTTTTAAAATTTAGACTTAAATTCAGTAGCCCAGTTTTTGGAAACAAAAACTTAACAAACTAAGGCATAATAACTACTCAACAAAACAAACCACCGAAAACAAACAGCACATACAAAAACAAACAACACAAGAATATAAGTGAATAAACACAATTTCATTGTTAAAAGTTAAAATTTTGCCCTAGATTTTATTCTTTACCCCAGTCCACCTCAAAATATCTGAGTGTCTGCCATTTTTACAAGAGATCATTAGCAAGGTTTTTACAGAATTATTTTTATGGTGTCTCTAGAATGACATTTAGGTTTGACTATAAAAAATACTCCTACTCATATACTAATAAATATATTCTATAAAGGAGCCATGGACTTAGTATGGGGCTCAATTATTTTTATGTTGCCTCTAGAATGACATTTAGGTTTGAGTATAAAAATACTGATATACTAATAAAATATATTCTATAAAGGAGCTACACAGCTCAGTGAGTACAGTGCTGGCTCACTAACTAGGAGTCTCGGTGCTGAAAGAGAAAGTTCCATAGTATTTTTGAGTCTATGTACCTGTTATCAGTGGTGGAGGACGGAGGGCCTGACAAAGAAGAGTGTCTTGTCCTTTGTACACATTGGCATCATGTAAAAGAACCCTTGATAGAATGCTGTAAAGAGTACGTGGAAACGCTGATGTCTGTTCAAAATTTCCCTCATTACATTTATTCTATGAAATATGTTTACACTTAGGTAGACTATAAGCACACAGATATTCTAAAATTATTTCAAGGGAGATAACTTGTTATATCAGGACTAGTTATTCTCTCCCCTTTGACTTAAAAGTTAAATCCATAATATTTCATGGTCTTTAACATATTTTTGAACATTCTGATGATCTTAATCTTTATAACCAAAGAGAGTTCAAAATGTCACAATCATCTGAAAAAATCTTTAAAGGGGTTGACCATTTATATTTTTTGCTAAGCCACCAGTTCACAAAGCATTCTCAGACTTACATTAAGAATTTACTCAACTTTCATGCACATTTTATGAGAAATACCTTTGATCCAGAAACACAAAACTTTCCACATAGTTTCTTATTGATGTATTTGATACATTAAAACAATCAATTTTTTATAAAGGGCTATATTTAATTACAATAAGGCGAACAATTTTTAGTAAATTCTTAACTTAAGTCTCAGAATGCTTTGTGAACTCCGGGCCTGGTCAAAGTCAATCTGATTAAAACACAGATCCGGTTTCATTTCGTTTTTTATTGTTCAAAATTTTGTTTTATTTGTCTGTACTACACTAGGATCTGGAAGAGTTGTTATATAACAGGCGTTATTAGCCAATGAAACCATATGTTACAGCGACTTCTTGGCGTGTGATGCATGGAACTGTGGGTAAACCACTAGAAACGTCAACGCTGATTGATTAATCAATGTCTGACATCATAGGGTCAAAAGCTGTTCATGCAACCCCTGACCCAACCTCCCACTACAGCTGGTCAGATCTTCATGTAGTAGAGGCCATTGAAAGTATAAAAAAACGAAATGAAATATAGATCTGTATTTTAATCAGATTAGGTCAAAGGAATCTATAGGCAGTGAAAGCATCTTTTTTGGATGACAACCCTATATCATGTCTGTTTACTTGCTGATCATTCTGCTTCAAAATCATGAATATTCACCAAAACCTGGCAAAAAATGACATGCATAAGGTATAAGAAAGTGAGAATTGCTATAAATAGAGGCACTACATTCATCCTTCATGAGAACAGGGGAAGCAATTAATAGTCTTAGTTCATTTAAATCACAACCAACAAGTTTACAAGGAATAAGCCCACCAAAGTATGATCAAACGGAAGAGAAAAATTTTAGATCTGCAAACACAAGATCTCCTAGTATAAGCCTCTCAAGCTGGCTGAGAAAACAAACTTAAGTCCATTTTATATTCACAAATATTTACACGTCAACTCATATTATACAAAAAACAAAAATAATAGGCTAAGTCCTAGAATTAAAAAAAGATGTTTCATAAGGAATTGGTTACAATCAAGACATGACTTGTGCTTTTGTTTTGAGATTTCGTATACACAGTAGACAGACAAGGCCGGAGTGTTGTGGATCTTCATTTATGGTATGTACTTTACTATCTTCTATTACTAAAGAGTATCTGAAAAGAGAACAGGTATGTCATAAGCAAAGGTACACTTAAAATAGCAGTGAACATGTCAGTCAGATTGGATTTGAAATATTAAAGCTGATCATCAATTGTAATTTTTGGACAAGATCTTATTTTTCAAATCGACAAATCGCACCTCGAGGTGATTTGGGATAATAGTTGTCAATAAAAAGAGAGAGAGAAATTGAGTTTCATGTCCACTCAACACAGACTAGGTCATTTCGGGACTAACATGGTTTAATTTTATTTCAATAATTTGCTTGCGCGTAGGGGTCTTTAGCAGTGGGAGGACCCGGAGAAAACCCACTAGGTTGGACAGGCAACCCTACTCCTTGTCACGTACAACCAGAGATTCGAAACCACGCCAGTTGACTCAATGACAGGCCTTATGATACAGCGCGCAGGTGCTAACCATTCAGTCATCCAACCCCCATTAGTCAATAAATTCGCCGATCAGGATTATTAATTTGAATTAGATGGACGTTAAAGATGAAATCTGATTGAATGTAAATCACTTTGTCTAATCAGTGGTCGATAAAAATGCCTTTTAATTGGATGTTTATCTACATTTGAAATTTATAGATTCAGCCAATATTAACATGATGGTACTATCAGCTGTATGCAGTTTTAACTAAACTAACTATTATACAACAATGGAAATTCCTATAAATACCATGATATCCAGAATTTTCCATGTCGTTGATCCCTATAACTATTAATATTAAATAAGTACATGTATATACTTGCCTTCTAGATCTAATATTTCCCAATAATTTACTACAATCTAATTCCATTCCCATAGCTTTAGTAAATTCACCTTTAGTATCTGCTAACATTCTTATCTAAATAAAATATAAGCATTTTAATATCAGAGATAGTTCAATCATGTAAATGCCAAAGGTATGGAGAAGAGAGAAATAGAATTTAACGTCCACTCAACAGAAACTAGGTCATTTTGTAACTAACATATGGTATAATTACAATTATATAATTCACTTGCGGGTAGGATCTCGAGTAGTGGGAGAACACCCAGCAATGTGGAAGGCGACCCTACTCTTTGTCATGTACAAGTGTGGGATTGAAACAATGCCAGTCAACTCTATGACATACCTTATGATCATTAGACCATTTTGGACACCCATTCTGGACTACTTGTACTAATAAAACTATTGAATTATCAATCAATAAGAGGGAAATGTATGGTAAGCTTATATTTTTATTTTATTTGTGCTGCCCAAATAAATAATGATTGGAATTTTTACCAGTATTACATGTAATTTAATGCTGCAACCATTGAAACAGTAGAATATATATATTAGTTCTAATATCTACACTATTTATGTTTAAATTATTTATCTTCACTTCAGAGCAGAATATACTTTAGTTATAGTATCTTCATTATTTATCTTAACTTCAGAGCTGAATATATTTTAGCTATAATATCTTCATTATTTATCTTAACTTCAGAGCTGAATATATTTTAGCTATAATATCTTCATTATTTATCTTAACTTCAGAGCTGAATATATTTTAGCTATAATATCTTCATTATTTATCTTAACTTCAGAGCTGAATATATTTTAGCTATAATATCTTCATTATTTATCTAAAGAATATATCTTAGTAATAATATTTTCTTTATTTACTCAACTTAACAGTATATAATTACCTTTCCTTCTGCTTTTAAATCTTGGCCCCATGCTGCCATGACAAAAGGATCGTTGACAGAAACACAGCCAATGAGATCATATCCCTCTTCCTGTAACACAGAAAGATAAGCCTTTATTCATTACATTAGGGAAGACAACCCCACATAAAATCAAAGGGAAGTGTGTAACAATTTACAGTATGAATTTTCCACACCCAATTTTATATCTTGATTTACATATGTTAAAGATTAAACATTGTACTTCCTTCATAATAGTTTATCCTATAATTCTTTGCTTACTTATTTTTTAGAAATAAAAAAACATTTCATTAAAAATTTGTTTACATTGTGTATTCATAAGAAGTGTAATAAACCTTGAAACACTGTGCTTTGGCACTGGCTAACTCTCTAACCAGGAGAAGTAACACCATGATTTTCAAGCCTGGCTTCCCCTTGTCAATGGTGCAGGACAGCGGACCTGGCAAGCTAAAGCATCTAGTCATTTGGATGGGACAAAAAATGAGGTTCCTGAATAACATTGGCAAATGAATGAAGAATCGGCTGTATTGCTGCTGTCTGGGCAAAATTTCCCTAAATCCCCTTTCATTTCATTGTTTTTTTAATCAATCAAATTTTAGTATTCAGGACCTGTGTAGAGTTTTCTAATATATCCAGAATTTAAATAGCCATGAGTCCAATTATGGAAATAGCTATCTATTTTTAGTTAAATTAATACATGAACCTGTACTTACTTTAAATTTATCAGCACTTTCTAAATATTCTGGAATATGGGCCTGAAAATGAACATATTGTACTTTAATTTAAAAAACCCCAACAAAACGACACATAAATTGTTGTCCATCCCATTTATCTTAGAAAATGACGATTTTCTTATGAATCTCAACACAAAATAGTTTTCCCCCAAAGAAATATTATACTGTTTGCTATTAAATCTTTTGCTTACACAATTGATCATTTTGTGAGTGTCATAGGAAACCACATAGATGATGATTTCTTAATAAATCTTAAAGAAAAATTGGTGAAACATATTTTGCTGACAAATGATCATTTTGTGAGTGCTTTTGAACTGGAAAAATCTGTATTTACAATAATAGTTCAACTAAATCTCCCATCCAATCCCCCATCCTGGCTCGACTCGATTTAGGGGGGTCTGGGGTCTGAAATGGTCCGAATATGGCATCCACAGTGTTCAATGGGGGCTTCGTATTTTCAGCACTCGCGAACTGTCACTACAACACTTCAATATATAGATCTGAATATCCCCCCCACTTACCCCTTCAAATAGAGTATAAATCAACATGTTCTATAAATAAAATCAAGCAAATTTGACTAGTCACAAATATCTTACGTGTGTACATCCTGGAGTAAAGGCACCGACCACCGAAAATAAAACGCCTTTCTTTCCTTTATATATATCACGGACACTTATACCATTATCTGGATTATCTTCATATAGTTTAATGTCTGGTAATGTATCCCCAATCTGTAATATATCATGTATAATCTATTGTGTGATACTATCTACAGGAATTCAAGTAGCTCTTTATTAAATTCAATACAAGAGTTCTATGGGAAACAATTACTGTATTTTTACTAACGTTTAATCAGAGCTACGTTTCTATTCCTGTCGTTTAAACAGTACCATGTATCCCTTACACTGTGGCAAGAGTATCTCCATCCTCTAATCCAACCACATGTATAATTAATCAGTTAGGTCAAGTCTTACTTAAAAACTCCATGCCTTGGTATTTTGTTTTTTTTAATTAAATGTTAAAGTAGCTAAGTCTCTAACTCATATCATCTAAAATCTTCGACAGAGAAAACACAAATTATTTATCAGTTTAAACCAACAATGATGTTGTGATCTTACTGCGAAAAGATAGGCTTCTGATATCCAATATTTAAGACAAAATAAACATTTTACCATTGGTACACGAATCGTGTACCATAATGTGTTTCGGCACCATTTGTAACAAGGGACTCGAAGAACGAGGCTAGACATATTCCACAAGTCATGTCAAACGGTGACGTCATATTCTTATCTGGAGAGCATGCTCAATAAATACTATCTGTGTAGACTGGAATAACCAGACGCTAGAGATGGGCATTCGACTGAGACTACTGGCGTATTTCGCCGAACATAACTGATTAGAAATTATTGTAAAAACAGAAACGATTGAATGTAAATCAGTTTATATACATTCATATTACATTATTATATGCGTTGCGACCCATTTGTGTCAATTTCTAAGTCCCAAATATTGGCGATAAAGCTCTTTTAAATAATTAAGGGTGGATTAAGCCTTGAGAAATTTATATATTCCGAAAAATGCAAATGACATATCGTTCCATTAAGTAATCAATATCCATCTGAATTCTCACCATCATGATTATGTGTAAATGGAAAATAACTTACAGTAATAATACAGGGGTGGGGGGGATGTCTTTAGTGCACATGTCATAAAATATTACAAAGATTTAGTAGTTTTTAATCTTCTATAATCCGCATTCTAAATAAACTTACATGTTCATAAATTGTATTTTGATGGATTAAGGGGATTAAAAAATGTTGTACACACAAATGTTTGAGAACTAGAAGACAAGATGAGTAACAGACTAAAGTCTAAAATAATTAAAACTACCATTTACTGTAAATCTATTCTAGCATAAGGAAATAGGCTTTCATAAATATTAACCCTTTCTTTGTGGGTGTTGCTTATTTTAGATTTTTAATTCACTGTATACTTTAAGAATGCTGTTTCATACTATGCCATTGTCTTTACAAGGAAATACCAAAATTAACTCCAATAAATGGTAGAGTGTCTATGTATAGCTAGTTATATTTTTGTGCCTGACTAGCGACACTATAAATAGTACAATATTTCTCAGTGCAATACATGGGCTACATGTATAATAACAGAGGAAGGCTCTTCTGAAAAGCTTGTCTCGAATATATTTCCATATTATATCACTTTACATGTATGTCTTTGATGCATGTCCTTCACTGGCATTCTAGCTATGGAGATATTATGTACCATGGGGACCCAGGGCCATGGAAAATGACCGTAACTAGATCTGACCCGTCGGTCCTTTTTTCAAAACCGAATTTTCAAACATGGCTACAATCGACCTCCACTATGTAACTATAAAATTGTACGGCATATATATGTATGTACTAACCACTTTCTCAATGAAAGCACTTATACAAGTTCTTAGGGTTTTTTTTAGCACTAGATACACATGTAATTGTGCCAAGGCTTCAACCTACCACAGTAGCTTACTGATTGAATGTATTTTCCTTAATAAAAATGTGAGTCTTTTGGAAAAATCCTTTGAATAAACAACACCTTTTCTATTTTTTCAAAACTGATAAATGCAATAAACACTTAATTGCACACACTAGGCCTATTAAATAATATATATGCTTGTACCCCTATAGCATAACCATACAAACCAAATTTTTAATGTTTAATAATTTTTATTAATACAAATTGTAATGATATGCAACCAGCATTATAATCTAATATTCTAAACTAACTGAACTGTAACAATTACAGCTAAATGTCTACAATTCCATAAATTCTATAACTGAGTCATATTGATTTCATTGATAGGGGCAGTACCAGTATTGAGATCAATAAATCATATAGTATGCTTATTTATTAGTAGGTACAATGTACAAGTTCCTTAATTTGCTATAATGATTCTTGAAAAGTCTTTAATAATATACTAAAAATGACAATTGATTAAGACAATTACGTGTAGTCTTGGTCGTTGGATAAAAATAACTAATATTATATTACTGGTACACACTAGCTACTTCTTATTGGAAGATAATGAAGACATAATTGATCAATTACAGTCCATGTATAGTTAATTAAAGACAAAAACTTTTGATTAATTATCCAGTTTGAACCATCAAGGACACAGAAATAAAAATTTGTATATCGTATAAAAAACTTGAAATGTAAAAAGGACTATAATTGTTTGATTCTAAACAAAGGTTTCTGTACCTTCCTCATTAGAAAATAAATAATAATGCAATATTACCTCTCCAAAGATCTAAATTTAATCTGACCACCGGTAAAGTGGCTAACTGTGTGGCATTTTTAACAACAAAACACTGAGAAATTGATAACAGGACATAGCCCCATAACAATAACAGGCCTACAGTGATTGATAAACAACCCACTTTTGGGGGACTTATTGACGGCCACGCAAACTATTTAACTAATTTAGGGCTACAAATGCAACCGTTCTTTAGCGTTATGCTAAGCTGATCAATTTCACATGTGAATGTTAGATGACAACGCTCAAAATTGGAAAAAGAGTGTAACTACGGATACGATACTAAAAACGGTAAATCCAATCAAAAAGGAAGCCGTAGAACTAAGGGGAGATCTTCTTAATTTATAATTAATCCCTTCACTGAACCTTTCACTACAAACTTTGTCAACGATAGTTGCTTCTACTAAAAAATAAATATCTACCCACCTTAAGATATCGCTTAATCTGACAACAAGCAGCCGGTCGATGTAACGAATTATTCAGGAGAGACGTCGTAATACGTCTTGTCAACTGTGCAGTCGCCATACTTGTAACTTTCCAGGCTTCCCCCGTTTATTTATAAACATCACGTCATTTCCGGAATTCCCTTGTCCCTTGTGTTTTCAATACTTTCACTAGTAGAGCTATATTTTCGTTTATTATTTACTACAACAATTAGTAATAAATAAAATGAACGGAATTTAATTAAAATGTATCCGCTGTCGAGAAGACAAACTCATGAACAGCAAATAAAAGGGTATTTTATTTTTAAAATGTTATTAACAGCCATGACATTGGGTCCTTTAGTGACCTTCACCTTAACCATGCTTGTTACAAAACAAAATTTTACTGTTGCAAGATAATGTATCACTGAGTTTAAAAGTCGAAACCTTCACAGTTATTTTGAAAGAAGAGGTCAACAAATCAGGTTAAAGTTGTGGCTATCTAATACTTTCGTTTATCGTTTACCAAAAACTGACTGACACCGGTGACACCACATAGTTGCAGGTGTATCAGAGAGAGTTTATATTGAGTACGGCAGATGTAATTCAATTTATTGTGTTACATCATCAGTCAGTTCAGCCATTCTTTGAAGTTATAATTTAAAATCTTTGACATTTGGTTATTTAGTATTAAAAGTTTATTCATCGATAATATGTTTTAAATATCGATGTATCTTAATATTTTTTGCTTTGGGTTTGCGATAGAAAAAGATGAAATAGGTTTTTATTTAGAATAGGCATATATTGCAGATTGAATCACTACCGCAATTTATGGAGCAAAAACTGTAACCTAATTAAATTAATTGATCCCACCTGACACAAGCACCAGTGATCATAGATATTGAAGCATTGACAATGTTACAGGGAGAGATTTTCATTTCAATTAAAGAACAGAAACAATTATATGCAACAGCCAAACAAAATATGTGATATGGTGTGATATGACTTCCATAATCATAGGCCTATGCCACAAGTGAAAAAATGTTGTTTATTTCATACCTAAATATGTTAAACCCCTCGGGCGCCATGTTGAATTACACAGTATTTAACGTTTAAAAAAACCTATAGAACTACTTTATGGAATCAACGACAAGTCTATAAACTTGGGCACCCCAACCATTTTTATATTTTTCTTGTTTAATTCAACTGAATGATAATAAGTGCAGAGGGTTTGTAAGGTGAAATTGAAGGGCTCAAATTGTCACCAAAAACAAAAATGTCAGATTTCTCTCAAAGTCTTGATCAGTGTTTTCTTATGGTAAGCAATATTTAACACTTAACATTTAAAGATAAGTCGACATCAAATCATGTGCCGGAACCGATCAATTGATGTATGGATTTTTTATATGTCACGATTACATGTATATTGTTTTTTAAAATCTGTATTTTTTTATTTACAGAAGCATGTCGAGAAGAAGTGATCTATTGGGGATTATAAGAGGCTTAGAACAAGTCACTAGAGCTTTAGCTGAGAACCAAGGGAAAGAACTCAGTAAAGCTTGGAAAAACTCTAGTCTAAAAGCATCAGTAGGAAATGCTGGTTTTCAATTTGAGAATGCTGTTAGTTCAGCTATTGTTAAACGACAAGAAGTAGCTGTAAGTGTCATACCAACTAACTGAGTTCAAGAATTATTAAAAGTCGAGTTCTAAGACTTGTCTGTTTTCATTAGCCCAGTCGGTGCAGAAAAATAGGACTTCATTTCATATTTAAGAACTGTAAAATTTGTAATACATGTATTTGTATTGCATTTATGTGAAGAAAGATCATGACATTAAAATGACTAATTTAATAATCATATATCAAGCACTTCATTTTTTCTTCAGATTGACAAGAAAGGACAGAGTTTTCTTTGGTATATTTTCAAACTTTAATAGTTTGTTTTGTTGACATTGATTGATGTTGATTGTAAGAGCTATTACATAGACAGCTTGGCTGCTGATGGGTGTATATGCAGACTGAACAAAACCCCCATCAATGTTTTACCTTTCTATTTAAATTAGGCTGTAACAACATCATTTTGATTGAACTAGATCTTTCAGCATGTGTTCGATCCCTGCATTGGCCGAGAAAGTTCATCAAGATTTTCTGGCGTGGTTCACCCTTGTCAGTGATGCAGGACGCAGGGCCCGACAAGGACAGATGTCTAGTCATTCAGATAGGATGGAAAACCGAGGCCCCGTGTACAAATTGGTGTGCACATGAAAGATCCCTTGACATTTGGAATTCGATATAAGAGTAGGCCGTAGTGCCACTGTCTGGGCAAAATTTCCCTCATAGCACACTGTATGGCGTATGCCCGTCTTCATTAGTCCAGTTCAGAGCAGAACAGTAGGACGTTAAACCCCATTTCATTTCATTTCATTTAATCATGTGATCTGTTAAATTGTTTGTATTTACAGAGAAATGTACAAGACAAAGTATATGATATATCTAATCAAGCATCTGCTGTAGTAGAAACTGTCAAAACAAAGGTTACGGCTGCTTCTCAAAGTCTTCAGTATAAAGATGTCCAATCTGACAATCTGGACACAGATATCCGACCTCCACCTCCTCCAGAAACGTCACCTTTGTCTGATGAATATATCATACAGGCCTCTTCAACAGACATTGTGGACCCACCTTCCACGAATGATTCATCCATTCCTCCTACTTCTGCAACGGACAATGTCACACCTCCCATAAATATATCAAGTGCCTCCATTTACCCATCTACTTCAACGTATCCACAGAGCAAATCTAAAAATACAGCAACATCCGACCAGACAAACTTTCGTACTTCAACAAAGACAACTTCAGGTTCTATTAAGTTTCCAACGCCGACAGCAGCGGCAGCTAATATATTAAATACTGCAGGTGATACACTGAAAGCAGCAGCCAAACAAGCCTCTAAAATACCAGTACCAAACTTTCAACAGTCTGTAAGTTGTATATCCAATTTTTTTTACGAAACCAGAATCAGAATTTATCAATCTGATTAAAACACAGATCCTATTTCATTTCGTTTTTATAGTTAAAAATTTTGTTTTACTTGTCTTTACTACAATAGGATCTGGAAGAGTTGTTATCATTGACGTGTTCTGAATGATTTGTGGGATAGCCAATGAAACGGTCTGTTGCGTTGAGCTTTAGTTGTGTTTTGCACGGAACTGTAGGTTATCCACTAGTAACATCAATGCTGATTGGTTAATCAAATGTCTGACATCATAGGGTCAAAAGCCCTTGTATGACCTCTGATGCGACCTATTGCTAGAACCGGTCAGATCTTCATGTAGTGTAGGCTATCCAAAATATATAAAAAACAAAACAAAATATAGATCTGTATTTTAATCAGATTGAGAATTTATTTGATTTCATGAATTTAAGTATTTGAATATAATAGGTAGATATTTTAATTGTTGCAGTCATTTATTCTCAAATTAGATAGTATAGGGTTATATTATGTGCAGAATGGTAAAGTTATCTAACTTAAACTTCATGTCCAGGACACATACTGGATTGTGAAACAAATAAATATTCAGGTCATCAATTTCAACAAACTCTATACTCTAGAGTTTTTAAGAGAAAGTATTTCCAGGGCAGACACAGCTTTTACTACAAATGAAATTAATATTAATAGCCTTTATATATTTTCTTTAATAATTTATATAGCTAAATGCCCGTGCTAGAGAAAGAAAAGTACCTGCTACAAGAATAAGTAGACTTATGAGTTACGGAGGTAATTATTCTAATATTTGTTTCAAGTTTATATATATTGTAACCTGCCCTTTGTGTAAACACCAAATTGAGGGGAAGGATCCAATTCTACATTTGGGTTTTGCCCTTCCATCCCAGCTTTGCTTCTGGAGCATATCTTATAAATTGTTCGAGATATCTTATGAAATTTTGTACACATATCAACCTACATATATTAGTAATAGTTGTGCCTTTTAGTAATTTGAAATTTTCAGAATTAATGTATTTTCAAAACAGTATTGGCTTAGTTTTTGGTATACAAGGGCATGGGATGTCGATTTTGTCTAAGCTCTTGTTTATTTTGTTTATTATATTTAATAGGTTTAGCTGCAGGACTAGGAGTTGGTGCGATATCAGAAATAACAAAAAGAACTTTAGGATTATCTGATAACGGTAAGACTTAGGAAAGCAGAAAGTGTTTAATTCTTGGTAAAAAAAAAAAAATCAATATAATCATTTTTATTCACCCACATTATCATGTGGACATATTATGTCGTCAACAATGTCCGTCCGTTCACATTTTGTTTGTGGACACTCTACAGGTCACAATTTTTATCTGATTTTGATGAAACGAAACTTGAAATATAGGTTTATATCCCAAAGATCTCGGTTCCTGTTGATTTTGGCATGTATCGGACCGTAAATCCATAGATTATGAGCCCATTATTGTGTGAAAAATCACGTTTTTAGCTTGTGGTCACAATTTTTATCAGATTTTGATGAAACTTAAAATGTAGGTTCAAAACCTAAAGATCTTGTTTCCTTTCCATACTGGCATGCATCAGGCAGTAACTGCCTGGATTACTGCCCCTGATTGTAAAGAAAATCACGTTTTAACTTGTGAACCCTCTAGAGGTTACAATTTTTATTTGGTTTTAAAAACCATTCAAATATATCACTGTTACACCATAATGTCAGTTGAATTCGAATTTCATGAGAATCGGTCACAATTTTTATCCGATTTTGAGGAAACTTAAAATATGTTATATCCCAAAGATCTCGGTTCCTTTCGATATTGATGCATGTTGGGCCGTAACATCCTGGGTTATAGCCCCTGATTTTACAAAAAAATCGCTTTTTTTTTATCTTGTTGCAAAATGTGGGTGTGTCTTGCAGGGCAACCACTTGTTGTAAATTCTCTTTAAAAAAACTTTTTAACTGGTCAGTTTAACTACAAAACAAATCACAGACAAAACAAATAATGAAGAACAATGGTACAATCTGATACATGTACCTAAAGGAAAAAACCTGATCTATAACCCTATGATGTCACTGATACTGTATCAGTTTCTTTTTGGGAATGAATCTCAATTATTTCAAAATACCTAAACATATATATGGAATTGTAGATATTAAAAAAAGGAATGTAAATTTGCAGAATTAAATTTTGTTTTGTCTAACATTGAACTATTTGTATATTTTACATTTCAGCGAAAGGAACAGCTATATTAGATAATTCACCATTTTTAACTGAAGCTAATGCTGAAAGAATTGTAAATACTTTATGTAGAGTGAGAGGTGCAGCACTTAAACTTGGTCAGATGTTAAGTATACAAGGTACACATTTATTCTTCGGTGACCAAGGAATTTATATCTGCGTTTTTTTTTATTCCGTTAAGATATAGCCCCTACAATTTTGTATTAAGATTTGATATTAAATTTTTTTTTTTTTTGCCAATGCTAATCTGAATTAATGTGTAAGTTTAAACAAAAGGTTTTGTCAACTTATAAACAACTTCTTAAAAAATATTATTTGATAAAAATGTTTTAAATAATCACTAAAAAGTTACATTCCTTTCATTAAAAATATTAATGATAAAGCAAATTGCCTAAAATTGTGAACACTATCTGCTATAATACATCTACCGTATTGATATTCTATCATTTTCAAATTGGTGATCATTTAAAGCAGTCACTTCAACAAGCTGCATTGAGAATGGGCTAAATCAAATTCAGTTAATGAGTCCAAAATGTATCAGTCTTGTGTGATAATATCATTATTCATGAAATCTTAAATTAAAAGTATACCTTATTGCCATTATCTATTTCTGTTACAGATAATGCTTTAATTAATCCACAACTACAGAAGATATTTGAGAGGGTTAGACAGAGTGCAGATTTTATGCCGATTTCACAGATGACAGTAAGTGCAAAATAACCAAATAGACAGTCTGACATAACTGACCAACAGTGTATATACAAGTATTAGGCAGTGAGAGGATACCAAGAAAACAAACTGAAATGAAATAGGGTATAACGCAGTGATGGGATTTTGCCCGTATATTCCGGACTTGTCCGAATCTTTTTTCCAAACACCCAAAATTGTCCAACCGGGAATATGCCCAATCGGACATCAAGACATGGTGAATAATATTCAGAATTCCGAAATTAATATAGTTTACTGAGTGTATAACTACCACTCAACCCGATTATCGTCGATAATACGCTGGTTTTATTAGGTAATTAAGTGATCAACGTATTTATCGTGTTATACCAATCAACGCTGATTGGTTAATCAAATGTCTGACGTCATAGGGTCAAAATCAGCTTGTATGACCCCTGATGCGACCTCCCACTACAACTGGTCAGATCTTCATGAAGTAGTAGCCATTGAAATTATAAAAAAAACAAAACGAAATATAGATGTGTATTTTAATCAGATTGTTTTCCTTCTGCCAATTATTGTTTGCTATGTTACAGAAAGTATTAAATAAAGAACTAGGATATGAATGGAGAGAGAAATTTGAATCATTTGAAGAAAAACCATTTGCTGCTGCATCGATTGGTCAGGTTCATAAAGGTGTTTTACATGATGGTAGAGAAGTAGCCATCAAAATACAGGTAATAGTTTGTAATGATCATCAAATAATACCTTAATCTACAGACTGGTTATAACAGTGTAAACGAGGTATTAGGTGGCCTTATGGTTTATTGTAACATGCTTAAGGGTGAATCTTGCGTTTTGATTGGTCGATTAGACACTGTCTATTGGACAATAACACCCCTCTAAATTAGAAAAATCACTGTGTATATTTATTATGCGTACTACTTTAATGGCGATAACCACAATGGAGACAATCAATTTTGATCTCGGTACATTAGATGAAATATTTGGAGATATGCCCGAAGATGAACTTGAAACGCCAACCCCCTTGTCAGGTAACAGCTACAAACAACAAAATATTCAAAAATCTATTACAGAAACATAAATTTTGTTTCAAAAACTACTTTTAAAAAAATGAAGTGAGAATTTTAGGTTTTTATTGTATGTCTATACTCATACGGCTACTAGACGATAAGCGAGCCAAATCTAACATGAGCAGCCAGTTACCCCGCTACGTCACGACGTTTTCATTACATCAAAATTGATTTCTTTGGTTTTTATATCACTAAAACCGATTTGCAGTAAGACGAATTTTGAAGTTTACACAATAAAATAAGTTCTTTAAAAATTCTAAAAAATAGCATGTTACAATGTCGATAAACATCTCTTGTTTCTAATGTTAAATCTCAGGACATGTCTATTGGACAATAACACCCCTCTAAATGCGAAACAGGAGGTGTTTATATCCTAAACGCGTGCGTGTTAGATCATAAGATCTTTCATTGAGTCAAGTGGCGCGGTTTCAATTCTCCGCTTTTACATGACAAGGAGTAGGGTCGCCTGTCCAACCGCACTGGTTTTCTCCGGGTCCTCAGATTTCCTCCGACAGTAAATCACCCCTCATTCAAGCGAATTGTTGAAATAAAATAGAACCATCTTAGTCCCGAAATGACATAGTTTGTGTCAGTGGATGCTAAACCCCATTTCCGTCATTCTCTAAACAGTGTAAATAGGTACATAAATGAACACAACTATAGTATGGGTTAAATAAGTAGAAATAACTATATGGAATAACTATTACTTAGTTTATACTATAGCGAAATTTCAATTATGCTTCTCTAGTCTTCATCAGGTATATAGTTATTTTTATTTAATTATGCTTGTTAATTATTTAATGCCATTTAAACAATGTATTATTATTCAACATGTAATTTGTTTATTATAATTTTATTGTCCCAATACATTGGTTAAGGACAAAGGTAGTTTGGGATATTGCAAGGCAAAATTGAGTTAACAAAATAAATGTGTAGCTGTAGCAAAGTGTGGTCTTGTCTTGGGTATAATTATTGGTGTTTAATATTAAATTTATATATTTTGAATTTCAGTATCCTGGTGTAGCCAAGAGTATAGATAGTGATATAAATAATTTGATGTCTGTTTTAAATGTCTGGCAGATGTTACCTGAAGGTCAGTGAAATAGTAGTAAAATAAGTCATTGGGTATCATTTGATACCATTTCTATCCTTTTCCGAATATTCTCGCTCTATCACGTTGAGCTTATACTAATCTAGTTTAATCAAACCCGTCAAATTGATAGGAAAACTGATCTCTGATCAATATAATGCACGTATCCAGGGAAACTGAAATCAGATTAATAGAATGCTCATATCCGGAGAAACTGACATCTGATTGATAGAGTGACGTTTCGACTTGGTTTCTCTTGTCTTAACCAAGCAATTTATTTGACTATTTAAAGGAATGTATATAGATAGTGTAATGAAGGTAGCCAAGAGAGAATTAGCATGGGAAGTAGATTATATACGAGAAGCAGAAAGTGGTAAAAGATTTAGGTAAGTAACTATGTATAATAATATCAAGTAACAATTTATGTTGTATTAATAGAACGACAATTTAAGCTTTTTATAGATCACTGGAATCAGGTAGAATTGTTTTTTTGTTGTTTTTTTTAAACTTTTTCAGCATTATATCCTTCATATGAACCAATTATATAAAATGGATAAATGTTCTGTAGAAAATGACGTCATTGATGTTTTTATTACCATATGCAAGCAAGTGTGTCATCCCTATTACTGCATATTAATCAGTAAAATGTAAAGCCATGGAGACAACATTGTTGTTTTTGATTTTCCTATGAAAGGGTAATGACTTGCAGAGATAAAAATACTGGATTGCTTGATATAAATGTATCTATTATTTGGCACTGACTTTGCAGACAAGAAATGATGTGTTGACACAGTCTACTTCTTTTTTTATGGAATCTTATGTCTCTATGAGATTTTTGGACAGAAATTTTGAATATTTATTTATATTAGCATTTTATTAAACGTTGTTGGACAAAAACGTCCTTCTCTAGTCACCACATAAGGGGGAAGTAACTGGTATCGGCTTAATATGAAATTGTGGGAGATTAACAATAAAGATGGATTTAGATTCAAGAAAAATTATATAAGAGCTAAATCTGGCTATTGCCAGGTTTATATATTATTCCATTTGCGGCAATAAATATTGAGGGAAAAAAAATTTACAGAGTGAGGAAGTGTCGGTTGTAAGGAAGGATGTTGTCATCACTTTATACAAAAAATAAAATATTTCATGTATGAATGAGGAATGATATTTTAAAACTTTGGTGTAGAAAAGAGCGGGTCAAAGGGGCAGGGATGTGAGGAAGAACAAAAGGCATATTGAGAAAAAAAAGGTACATTGTGGAATAATATACATCCCTGCCAGGTCTTTATGTTGGCTTCAAATGTTATATTAACTATTATTTAGACATTTATTCACGTGAAAAGCCTATAATCAACTCTCTAGATCATCGGATGGCCATGGTTTAAATGGATTTGAACAGTCACAAGATTTGTTGTCAAGTACCGTTACTACAAAAATAAACAATCTAAGCCCTAATGTGACGCAACATCTTCAAACGGTTATAACTTTGCACAGAATAAAGTAATTTGAATAGAATTTTCAATATACATTTTTCATTATCTGTTTTTGAAGTATTATGGCAATATATTCATTTTTCATGATCTATTTTTGAATTATTTTGCACGGCCAGCTCTTTATTTAAATTTTAAATCTTACACAAGACATCTTTAAGACTAATGATATGTTTTTCTTATTCTTTATTTCTAACTGAATTACAAGATTAAAGACATATTTAAAGTAGGAGTAGATCTTTTCTTGTGACATTTAAACATGCTATTTATCATGGAATTATTGATTTATCAAATTGAAGATAGTAATGGCATATAGATGAATCAAACTCCACTAATTGAACTTTGTTAATTGCTCACAATAATCTCATTTTGAAATAAAAAAATGTCTGATAATCTTTAAAATCACATACTGTAGAAGTAGGCTATATTGGAAAATCCTGATGAACTTTCTCGGCAACACCGAGATTGAACACAGGACCTCAGGGTTAGTCAACCACATGACAGTGGTTTTTTGGCCTATCTGAACAACTAGACAGCTGTCCTTGTCAGACTCTCAATCCTGCACCATTGACAAGGGGAAACCATGCCAAAAAAATCCAGAGGAACTTTTTTGACAAATACTTGGAAGAAACCCGATACCCCCAGGCTATTGACTAACAGAAGATGATCTTATAGTTAAATTATATTCTTTTTACATGTGAGTGCTAAACATAATTCTAAGAAAAAGGTGTCGTAAATATAATAATAAAACATAATAAAATTTGTTTTTATTTTAGAGAATTATTACAAGGTGATCATATGCTATATGTACCTGATGTTATAGAAGATTTATCTACAGACCAGATATTAACAACAGAATTTATATACGGTATTCCACTAGATCAATGTGTGGACTTGGATCAAGATACAAGAAATAGGGTGAGTGTATTCATACATTGTTATAACTCCAGGTCCCTATATTGTATTAATAACAACAACAAATATTGTTTGGAATTCAGTCTGGTATGTCATAAATTAAATGTAAACAATCCACCAAATTTTAGGAATTCTTGTATGCAACAGTGAGCACTTTGACTGACTTTAAAGAGGATATTTAAATTTTGAAATTCGATAGGGTTCTTTCTTATTCAGCAGTGAGCAATCTCCCTTAGTTTCCAAAAATCTTTTGTGAACATATCACATTCTTAAGATTGAAAAAAATTGAACATACTTGAGGGAATAACTTTCAAATTTGATAAGGACTCCATCCTAATGCTACCAAGTTTAAAAGAATTCCATTGAAAATTTTGCCTTGTGGCATACGAAAGAAAAGAAGCCTATAAAATTTCACAATTTTTTTAATTGGATGTTTTTAAACACATTTTACAGAGGTTTTTTTTTCTGTTTACATTTTTACTTTTGCAGCTTAGTACAGGATGGGATTTGTTTTAGATTTTGGACAGACTACTATATTTTCAATGTCTCATGCACTACACATAAATGTACAATAATTTATAAGTATCAATTGACAATTAATAAAGTACCATATATTCCTAAAGGGTAAACAAATTCAACATTTATTAATACAAAATGACAGATTTTTGTAATGTATTGCATGCAGACTTGACCAGGGGAAGATGGCATAGTAAATAAAACTGTCTAGACCGGGTTCTTGTAAGCCAATATTTATTGTGAGTGAATAGTGTTGTTTGTTATCCCTGTCCGTCACAGTCTGTATATTTCTTTATCCAATTTTAATGAAACTTGAGTTTGTGAAGTATTTTGAATTTGAATGAGATTAAAGATACATTAGTTAAGAGTTTAATAAAGAGTTGGTCAACCTTGCTATAATAGTTCAAAAATAGATGATAAAAAAAGAAATTACTTCATTCTCAGCCAAGTTATCATTGTTTGTTGTTTTGACAAGATGTGTGCACTGTGGTAACCAGGGCACTGGTATAATCGGGACTTAGCCTCGCTTTCTCATTTTTAAATTTTTAAACCGTTTTAATCTAGTTAACATCTCGAGTATCCGATGCCATCGAGAGTCCATTATGGTCTTGTTTTGTTAATAAATGTCTAATTAACAGTTTATATAACATTTCAGGCCTAAAGAAAGACCTGCAATAGGCAGATTTAGCTCTTGCATAGTGTATGTTTAAGCAACCTGCTTCAAAAATAGCTAGATAGAATATATATTTTTCATAAAATTTAAAAGAAACTTGTGATGTCCACGAACAAATTTAAATAATATGCCAAGTTATTACCCTTGACATAGAGAAAATACATCAAAAATATCTGGTGAAGATATTATTAGTCTACATTGTTCAGCCAGTATAGATGAATCTTGTTTGTGATGTTATTTCCATCAGATGTCAAACGCGATGGATATTGAAACCGGCTCTGTTCATCTGTATGTATTTCCTTTCATCATGATTTTGTTTACAGACCATAACTCATAAACTATTCAAGATATCTTTATGAAACTTTTGATACAAATCAACATATTGTAGTAGTTGTTCCCTTTGCTAATTAGACAATTTTCGGATTTGATCATTTTTGTGTTTTGATGGACACACTTTGACTTGTAACATGGACAGGGAATCTTCCTTTGTTCTTTAAGTTGATTAAGCAGATTGTTTTGTCTCTGTTAGAGTGTAACTGTACAAAGACTGTGCATTTTCAATGTTATTGCACACTTTTGCTGATTTACAACAGTTTTAGTAGAAATCATATAGAGAAGTGAGGCAGGTTTTCTGTGCAATAACAACGAGCATTTTGAGCAGGTGTCAATGTGACAAGTCATTCATAGCACCTTCATTCGTTAACAGGTTTAACACCTCAGCCTCACAGCCTCTGTGGTTAAAACAGTTAACTCATGAAAGGCATGCTATAGATATAAGTTAGTTTATGTATAGTCAGTTTTAGTTCCAGAGCATTTCTCATAAACCTTTCAGGATATTTTTATGAAACTTTATACTCACATCAACTTATTATAGTAGATGTGCCTTAATTAGCTAATTAGAAACTTCTTTGTAGAATATAAGTAGTGTGTTTCTATGGAAACAAACATTACTTAGTTTTTAGTATACAATTTTTATTCCTAAACACATCTCATATACCATTCAAGATATCTTTATGAAAATTTGATTTCATTCATAAATCTGAAACTGAGCATTCTTGTCCCCCGCCTTTTGAAGAAAGCAGGGGACTATTAAAATAGGTTTGTCTGTCTGTCGTCACACTTTTTTGGGGGGACACAATTACTCTCCTTCTAATTGAGCTAGAATGTTCAATTTTGGTGTAGGTGTTTATTAGGTCAATGCCTTGATGGAGTTAGAAGATAAACATTGATAGTGGTCCAATAGTGGTGGTAGTTTAATCTTTATCTTAAATTGATGGTAGTACTAGTAACTGTATAATTGGGATACTGATACATCTTATAACGTGTATTTGGTTGTTGATTACCAATAACGCGAAATGAAATGAAATGGGGTTAAACGTCCTACTGTTCTGCTCCGAACTGGGCTAATGGCATACGCCATACAGTGTGCTATGAGGGTAATTTGCTCGGACAGCGGGACTACGGCCTACTCTTATATCGAATTCCAACTGTCAAGGGATCTATTACGTGCATGCCAATGTGTACATGGGACCTCGGTTTTTCGCCCCATCCGAATGACTAGACAGCTGTCCTTGTCAGACCCTCCATCCTGCATAAACCAAAAATGCAGAGTTTGCTGATCCTTTTACCTCCCAAGGGCTCATGATATCTTCTTGTACCTTTAAAATCATTACATGCAGGACATTACCAATGGATAAAGCTCAATTTATAGCAAATGGCCATGTTGTCATCTGTATGTATCTCTGCAAATATTTAAGACAAGGTAAAAATAAGCGAAAGCTCATGTCACTTTGAAATGGTTACTTTAGTAAATAATTTCTATTTAAAAGTTTTTAGACATGAAACATAAGAAAAAAAACATTAGAAAGTTTCTAAACGCAGTTTAAATAAAATGAACAGAGAAGGAAAGGAAGAAGATAATATCTTCTTTTAAAGTGAGATCTTAGAGATAACAGAACATAAGAAAATCATTCCTTTGATGTCATCAATTAAATTAGTACGTTAGCGGGTATTTAACCTATAAAATTCATTTAAAGGGAAACATGTCAGATATAAATGTCAGTATTAAAAATCAGATCTCATGTCTTCATTAGCCTAGTCGGAGCAGAACAGTAGAACATTAAACCCTATTTCATTTGAAAACTCAGATCTGCCATTTCTAACTTCTAATCAAACCTGGAAATAAGGCACTTGTCACAGACAATGACAGGCACAAATTCAGGCTTCCTCAGGTGCAATCCCTCTTTCATTTTTCCTGCACAGATTTGTCTTTATCAGTGTTTTTATTTATGCATCATACAATACATGTCTGGTTCAAAGTTCAAAATGTCAGGTACTAGTAGTGCTTGACATTTTGTCTTGTGCAATTAAAAACATTATTTTCATACCTGCTGTTGATATGGCCTAATAAGGATTACTATAGTTTGACTTTACACTGGCATTATTATTTATCTAACTAATTATATAAGTTTACACAAATATCAGAATAATTCTGAAATGTTTTGGAGTGTTGGGCTGCTGAATGCTTTAATGCATGCGGGTGAGATCATAAGGTCTGTCATTGAGCAGTGTCGTGGTTTTGATTCCCTGGTTGTACATGACAAAGAGTTTGGTCGTCTATCAAACCTTGTGGGTTTTCTCTGGACCCTATATGGCTTCCTCCCACTGCTAAAGACTCCTACTTGAAAGCGAGTTATTGAAATCAAATTGAACCATCTGTTAGCCCCGAAATCAAATGTTTTCCATCCAAATCTTAATTCATGTTTTGACATTATCAGATTTGTCCTGTATATGAATCTTGATAGTTAGTTTATTATGGCTTGGAATTGTCTCTTTTCCAATACATAGCCTTGGTCATCAGGACGACCATATGGAGCATTATGTTAACTACTAGAAGTCTTTGTAACCTAGACTCTGTCAACCAGTTACACAACTCATCATTGTGCCTATTTTTATATTCTAATAACGTAGTCTTTAAATGTACTGTTGTTATTCCTTTGAACATAAAGCTGTGCAGATGTTTTACTGATGTTAGTTAATTGTCAGGTTGATTTAAACAGAAATTTCTGCCAGACTTGTTGGAAGATTTTATAATGGAAAGCCAGCAAATGAGTTCAGTTGTTATTTATTGATACCATAAACTAGACTTAAGCATTCTTAAACTGAATCAGACACTTGTGATATTTAAGTGCATATTCTCTAAGAAAAAAAAAATGGGTTGATTAATGGTACATTAAAGGAGCTAAACCTTTAACTCAATATTTTTCATAATATTCAAAATCAAAAACATGAATTAGAATTCCCTATTTGTCCATTTCAATCAATATTGATGTTGTTATTTTGTAGTGAAAAAATAGGAGCCTTATATCCAATATATAAGATCTAATGAATATTTTATAATCAGTACACGAGTCGTATAATTTTATAATCAGTACACGAGTCGTGTAATTTTATAATCAGTACACGAGTTGTGTATTCTGTGGTTTCAGTTGTTTATTTTAGACTGTTCACATAGTTCACCGAACATAATTAATAAGAAATTACAATATTTTTTTCAAGAATTGAATATAAATCACTTTACATATTATTATAATATGTGCTTTTAGAACCATTTTCATCTATTTTAATGTTCCAAAGAATAGATCTATACACCCTTTAATTCACCATTGTTGAAAAATATCAGTATTTGCAAAACCTTTAAATGATCTATTTGATTCTAGTCAAAATAAAATTGGATTTTATATATTTATTTGTTATGTGGTCCATCTTCATTGAAAATTTTCCATCTTCATTGAAAATTTTCCATCTTTAGATA